TTATATATTAAATATTAATATTTTAAAACAAATTATAAATAAATAAAACTAATTTTATTTTACAATATAAATTATTTATCATAAATTTAAAATATAATTTATATATCTAAAAATATTTATTTATATAAATTTTAAATATAATTTATATATTCAAACATTACATTTATTTTTAAATATATTTTTTTATAAATTTTAATTATACATATTAAATATAAATATGTATTACACACATTAAAATACTATTTTATATGTTTTTCTCAATCATATAGATGATTTTTGTCGCTAATTTTTTCTACCCATTTTTACAGGTTTCTTTTGACTTCCCCCTCGGAGACTTACATGAATTTTTCCAGCTAACTTGAACGTAATTACTCACATCAATTTTTTTTTTACTTTTATAATTATTCTATATACATATGAAACATATATTTTTAAATTGTAAATTATATGTATTTAATTAATCTGTGATTTTATTTATAAATATTTTTTATATTTTATATTGGAATTTTTGAAGAGGTAAAACTATATAATTAAATCATGCATAACAATAGAAATTAAATTAATAATTATATAAATCAAGATATTTATTCAATTCATTTAAAATTAATTAATTTACGATCATTGAAATATTATTTAATTACTGACTGATCATACTTTTATGTTTGATTAATTATTGATCTAGTATTAGGTTTTATCGAAGACACAAGTTGTGAAGCAAACTAGATATTATAATCATGGAAGGTATATTTGGATTATAATCAAGATTTGACTTTATGGAAAGTAAATTTTTAATTCAATTATATTTTAAGTTTCATTCTCTTTATTTATACTAAGATATCTTTTGTTGGGAATAATTCTATTCGAATTAAAAATATTAGTAACATAATGGAATTAATTCTTCTTAATAGAATTTTTATACGCAAAATTTGAAATCAAAACATTATTTAAAGATAAGTGAGATGTGTACTGTATAATAAACCTATTACTTGATAATTCTCTTGATGTAACCCGTTTCATTAATCACTAAGTTAAAGTAGTTGTAAGAAAATGAGTAAATTTTAATTTTATTAATGTTAATTATTATTTTTATTCAATTTTACTGATATTGGTCCTTATATTCGTATAAAAAGTTATTAAGAGTTTCATGGTTTTGCATTAATTGTTTATAATAGTTTATCAATATATGTATAATTTTATTTTATTTAATAAAAATCAATAAACTCATCATATATTATATATTAAGAAGGAGGCGGGGCCAAGAGAAGATTGTGAGGGTTGAGAAATGCGCACATATTCTGTGTATTTATAATTTATGGCAATAGAGGAGATGAGGAGATTTTTATTTTTGGTGAGATTGTTGAGTGTTTGGAGTTGAGTATCAAAGTGTCTGCGTCCTCATCATCATGTTTATGGTTGCTTTTCTTTTCTCAGAGAAAAAGATAGAGATGCTGCCTCCACTTACTTTCAGTGGCCCAACTACCACACTCATCCTCATTAGACCAAACTATTTCCATTTTTACTTTAACACTCAAATCTCCCCTCATTACACTAATTATACTATGTTCCTCTCCATCTATATATATGTATTCAGTTAGGTAAGTTTGCATAATAATACTTCCACACAAGTTTATTTATTTACTTTTCTACAAACATGCTATAAGACATATTCCTTAATTCTGAATTAATTTTGAAATTAAAATTGGATTTGTATCGAGACTCACACACATGACACAACCTAATGCTTTTAAAATCAATAAATTTTCGATCCCTAATTTTAGAAAATTTCTATTAACGATAGTTTTTATTACTTTCAATGCCTTTTG